ATAAAAGGATGGGACGCGGGGGGGTCTGTTTCCAGGGGTGTCGCGGAGGCCACGCGGGGACGCATGGGACGGGCACGGGGCGCTGGGAAGGGTCAGGTGCACGAAGTGGTTGGTGGGGCTGGAGGCTGAGGACCCGGCGGGCGTCTTCGCGGGGTTGACTCGCACCAGGGAGCCCTTCCCTGGGAGGCACGGACCTTAGGGGCTCTGGCTCCGCCCCCCCCCCAGATCTGGGAGCCCCGAGCCTCCGCGGGAGGGGCACGGAGGTGCACACGGGGTCAGGGGCTGCCCAGAAAGTCTCATTTCGGGAGAAAACTCAAGGACACTCGAGGTTTCCCTATCTGCCGCGCCCCAGGCAGGAGCCGGACCTCGGGCCGAGGGGGTCCCCCCCAACCCACAGCGTCTCCTCCGTCGGCTATCGGGCCCTGCTCCAGTACCAGGATAGCCCCTGGTCGCCCGCGTGTCGGGCGCAGGTGCCAGCGGAGACCGCACCGCCGCCGCCGCCGCCGCCCGCGCGCCCCGCCCTCCGCAGACCCGGCGGCAGCTCGCGGGGTCGGCGGGTCGGAGGGCGCCGCAGGGTCCGGCCCGGGAGGAGGGGGCCCAGGGCGGCGGCCCGGCGCGCCCCCTCCCCCTGGCCGGCCGCCGCGCTTTCATCTCCGCGGCCCCGGTCGGCCCCCACGTGGCTTAATCAGGCGCGGCTGTGCCTGGCGGACCCGAACATCTGGATCCCGGCGCGGCCCCTCCTCCGCCCCGCCCCGCCCCTCCCGGGCTGAGCCGCGGCGACCCAGCGGCTGGGGGCCTCCAGCCCGCCGTTTGCCGGAGCGTCGAGCCTGGGCCGCCCCGCGTCTGAGCCACGCGCACGCAGCCTGCCCGCGGCTTGGGCAGCCTCCCTGCGCGATTCCACAGGTGGGAAGCAGGCTCCCGCGCTCCTGCGCGGAGCCGCGGACGCAAACTCACGCACGTCCGTCCCGCAGCCCTGCCCCGGTGTCCTTCCGTGGGTCCCAAGCAAAACGCTCTTTCCAACAATTGCTGGAGAATCTGTGAAGATGCGTGCGGGGGGGGGGCCCGCCCTATCTGCGGATAAAGCCACTGAGGTTCAGCGGCCGAACCCGGCTCCTTAGGGAGAGACGCCACATTGCCCTGGGAGGCGGTCCCGTGGGCGTCACTTTAAGCGCAACGCGAGAGAGGGACACCTCCCGCCTTTAGACAGAAGGGGAAACTGAGGCTGGAGAGGTTGGGCCATGCGCCCAGGTGGCCCAAAGGGAGAAGGGAGAGAGCGTGATTGCCGCCCGCCCCCCCTTTCCGCTCCTCGAGGCCACTGTGGGGGGAGCGGAAGGAGGACTTGACCCAGGCCCCCCAGGTGAGCCCCCGCGCCCCTCCTTCGGTTCCCGAGGGAGCGGGCCCAGGTGAGGGGCGGGCGGGCCGGCGGGCGGCAGGGGTCGGGTTTCAGGAAATCCGCCGACATTCCTCCGGGGCTTAAGAGGGAAAGTTGACTCGGCGCCGCCCCTCGCCCCCCCCCACTTCCTACCCCCCGGGGCGCCCGGCCGGGGGCGGCGGGCTGGGGGGCGGGGGGTGCGCTGCGGCCCGGCCTGGGCGTGAATCAGCAGCCGGCCGGGCTTCCGGGAAGCGGTGGCCGAGGTCGAGGCGGGCAGCGGACAAGTGCCCTTTGTCCCTTGCTGCCCTACGCACGACCCTGCTGACCCCCACTCCCAGGCTGGGTTCAGGCGGGGAGGAGGGAGGCAGCAGGGGTGCAGCTGCTGCCTCCTGGGACTTGAGGGGGCAGAGGACCCAGGCCTGCGGTGCAGGGTGCACGGACCCCGGCCAGGACCCAGTGTGGATGGCAGTCCCCAGCTCCATCCTGCTGTCCCCCCAAAGTGGGAGGCACACACAGGCCCCAAACCAAACGCCCAGAGTCTCACTGCCTCCGGCCTCCTGGGACCCCCAGCCTGGGAGGAGACAGGCAGCGAGTCCCATACCAGGGGCCCTTGACCTTGGCAGGGTTGGTGAATAAGACAAGCAGCCCTCTGTCCTCTCCCTTCTCCCCGGCTCCTGGTCCCCCATGGGACCCTAAAGGTTCCCACTGCCCCTGGCTGGTGCCCGACCTAATCCCGACCTCTCAGCCCGCCCCTCCCCCCCCGGGGGGGGGGCTCCACCCTCGGTCTGCCCCACTTGTTGCATTCCCAGCCCAAGCCAGGCCCTCAAGCACTTGGGTCAATATTTGGTGCGATTCTGTCACCGCTGGTGCCTGTGCAAAGAGGGCCTGGGGAGGAAGGGGTTAACTCGCTGGGGACTTCAAGGGCACTGACGGGCCCACCTCCGGGGATGGGGGGGGTCACTTCCAGGTGCCCTAAGTCAAAGACTAGGGACCAAGGTCACCCAGAGGGCAGAGGTCATGTTCGGGAGTGGGCACGGGGGTTGGTGCCCAGCTCTCCCCAGGCAGTACCAGCCAGGAGGTTCCTGGGCATCACAGGGAGCCGGGGGTGGGGGTGGGGTGGGGGCGCGTGCGGCCACGGGCGCAGGCTCTGAGACTCCTCCATGTGTGCAAGTGGCAAATGTTTGCTGAATTCTCCTCCGGCAGACCCTGCCTCTCCCCCCGCCCCCCACCCGCGGTATGGGGTCCCTCAGGGTGTTCAGGGTGCTCAGGTCACCCGCAGCCAGCCCAGCCCAGTGCCAAAGCTGAGCGGCAGGCGGAGAACGGACAGCATCCGGGGCCTCCCTCCAGCGGCGGTTACGCTGGATAGAAGAGAAGGCGCGAACTTGGGGGAGATTTGGGGACCAGCCCAGGAGCCCCGGCTTGGCGACACGGCGGGGGGGGCTCTCGGGGGTGGAAGGAGGGAGGGAGGAGGGGGAAGAGGAGGAGAGAGAAGGGGGCGAGACGGGTGGCAGAGCTGTTTGGCTGCTTTCTCTGGGACAAAGGCAAGGCGGCTATGGGGAGGGGGCGGCGGGGAGGCGGCCGGGGAGGCCCAGCAGCGTCCTGGAGGGAGCCGGTGGGGCCCGGACGCCGACGAGGTGGGGAGAAGGGATCAGGAGAAGGGAGCCGAGCTGTGTTTTGGAATCACGGCCAACAAGCTTTGCTGATGGATTGGAGGCGTGGGAAGACAGAAAGAGAGCGTCGTCACGCGCGCTTCCAGGTCTCTGGCCTGAGCACCTGGGTGCACGGGGGAGCCCTGCCCCCCTCCCCAGACTGGGAGTGGAGCCGAGATGGGGGGTGGGGTGGGAATTCAAGAGTTTGCTCCGGGAGTCTGAAATCCTTGGGGGGGGGGAGAACAGGCAGACAGCTCTACATCCCCCACCCCTCCCCCTCCAGTTTTGGGGGGAGGGGCGGGGAGCATCCCAGAACACCCAATTCCAGCCCAGGACCGGCACCTGGCAGGTGGGGCTGTGGCACAGATTCGCAGGGCGAGAGCAGCGCCTGGCGGCCGCCCCTCACCACATGGGGAGAGGCCCCCTGCTGTGCTGGGTGGAGCCCTTGGGCCCCTGCTTGCCTGTTTCCCTGCAAACCTTTTCAGTTGCCTGGATGCCGCCCCCTGTGCAGGGGGGGAAACTGAGGCACAAGAGGCCTGGCGAGCCCCAGTGCCCTCCCAGCCCCCAGGGTCCAGGCACGGGCACCCTGAGTCCCTCCTCAGGCCTCACCCTCTAGTTTGCTGGTTTTTTTTTTTTTTTCTGGAATCTGAGCTGTGCACCTAAGTAGGTGAAGGGGCAGCCACTGCAGACCCGGTGGGGACCCCTGAGGACCCCCGGGGGGCTGCTTGGGTCTCTAAGGGAAACCCTGGAAAGGGGCGTTCCATCCCTTCCCCTCCCGGTAGCTGCGGGGCGGGGGCGGGACCGAGACCCAAACCGCGAGGCTGGGGTCGCCGGGCTCTGGGGCTTTGGGCACCGCCGTCCGTCCCCGCTGCGCGGCGGCCTCCCAAGCCCACCACCCTTCATGTCGTGGGCGCCTGGATCGGGTGGGGACAACTAGAGAGGCATCGGGCGCCCAGGCCGGGAGGGGTCCCGAAACCCGAGCAGTGGCCAAAAATAATAACACGGGGAAGGATCTTCGCGCAAAAAAAAAAAAAAAGGAAGACAAACTTGTGCGTCTCTCCGGGCGGGCGGCTCTACCTGGAGCTGGCAGGCGGCGGCCGCCGGGCGATTACTCACCGCGTGGCGCACCCCACCCGCGGGCCGCTGAGTGGATTTTTCCGTGGGGAGGGGCGTGAAGGAGTCCCCGGAGAGAGTCCTCCCGGGAAGCCGTCCTACCCTGGATGCGGGACCCGCGCCTTCGGAGGCCCCCCATCTCCCCACGCGGGGGCTCCCTCCCCGGGCTCCGCGGCGCCCCCCCCCCCGCCCAAGCAGCCCCAAAACCATGGACCGCGAGGGGTCCGCTGGGCCCGGGGCTCTCTGCTTTCCTGCAGCAAAGCCGGAGCGGACGCCGCTGCGCAAGGAGGACCGAGGAGAGGCGGGATAAAGTGGGAGGGCCGAGCCCGGTGGGACCCGCGCGCCGAGGCTGCGGGGCTGGGAGCAACTTTCGGGTCCCTGGGGAGGAAGAGGAGCTGGAGGTGGGGGGTGGGCGGGGCTCAAGGGGGCGCCCAGTAGGGGGGCGGAGCCAGAGCTAGGGTGGGGGCCCAGATGGGGGATTGAGGCGGCACAGGGAGGAGCCCGACAGCGGTTGGGGACCGCAGGGGCGCGGGCTGAGACAGGGTGCGAGGAAGGGCAGCGAACGGGTTGGCGGGCGCCGGGTCCCAGGCTGGGGGCGGTGGTGGGGAGCCTGGAGCTGCCGGAGTTGAGAGAGGAGGGTCCCGGGCCCGTAGGGGTTGAGTAGGGGGCTCCGGGCGGCGGGACGGGGCGCGCGCAGTTCGTGGCGGGGCGGAGGCCGGACGGGCGGGGCGCGCGCGGTGCCCGCGGGCGGGCGGGCGGTGGGGAGGCCGGTGCGGGGCCCGCCGCCCCCCCGGGGCCGGGCCGGGCCGGGGGCGGGGCCGGGCGGGGCCAGCGGCGCATTAGCGCCTTGTCAATTCGGCTGCTCAGACTTGCTCCGGCCTCCGCGTCCGCGCCCAGCGACGTGCGGGCGCCCCGGCCCGCGCCCTCCCGCGCCCCGCGCCCCGCGTTGCCGCCAGAGCCGCCGCCCGCTGCGCGCCCCAGGCAGCGCCGGCCCCATGCCCGCCGGCCGCCCGGGCCCCGCCGCCCAATCCGCGCGGCGGCCACCGCCGCCGCCGCTGCCCCTGCTGCTTCTTTGCGTCCTCGGGGCGCCGCGAGCCGGATCAGGAGCCCGTGAGTACCCTGCGCCCTGCTCCCCGGCTCCCGCCCGAAGCGAGTGCGGGCGCCCCGGGGGCAGCCGCGGGGGGAGGGGGCGCAGGCGCCACCTGGACGGCCCGGGAACAAAGGAAGGCGCCCCCGGCGCGGCCCTCGGGGCGCCCTCACCTGTGGGACGCACTGTGCCGCAGCCCCCCACCCCCCGGCCCGGGAGGTCCGGCTTCCGCCCCTCCCGGCCTTCCCACCTGGGCCGCCCGGCCAGGCCCCCTGGGGGTCGGGGCCCTGTGGCCTGGGACCCTCTGCGCGCCGGGACGCAGCGGGCGCACGCGTTCGCATCCGCGGACTCGGAGCCGCGGGGATCGCGCGGGCCACGGCGCCCGGGCGGGGGCTCACGCATTTGGCGCGCAGGGTGCGGGCCCCGAGTAGGGCCCCCCCCCACCCCGGGCGGAGGGATGAGCCCCGCGGGGAGGGCGGGGCGGGAGGGGGGCCGCTCTGGCCGCCTGGCGCGCGGCCCGGGGTCCCCGGGGACGAGTCTCTCCGCGGGCCGGCGCCGCCGCCGCCGCCGCTGCCGCCGCCCTCCCCCTGCGGGACCCCGCGCACGGGGCTCCGCGGAGTCCCGGCCATCGGCGGCTCCCGGAACCGTCTTCGGTCGGGCCGCGCCGATCTGAAAGGCTGCAGCGAGAGGAATCTTTGTGAGCGAGGGAGCGAGAGCGAGCGGGAGCCCGTGGCGTCCCGGGGGGCACGGCGGGCCCAGGCGGTTCGGGGTAGGGGGGAGGCTCCCGGGGGAAACCTCTCCGCTCTGTAGGGAAACTCCCGGCCTGGAGCCCTCTGGGCCGGGACGCGGTCTCCCATCCAGAGGCGCCCCGGGACACACCCAGAGACACACAAAGGCGCACACTGGCGTGTGGCCCGTCACCCTCGCCCCCAGACGCGCGCACACTGCGGCCCAGATGAACGTTCGCACACCATGGCGGGCGCGCACACACATTCCAGCCGCGGTCACACGCCCATTCCGCCAGGGAGGCGACCCAGGGGCACGCACGCAGCCAGACAGTGAGTGCCTCCAGAAAGGTCACGGGCCGGCCCCCAGCCCCGGGGGCGCGCGCCCAAAGCGCAGCTTGCCCTGCGCCCCGGGGCTGTCCGGGGGTCCGCCGCCACCTCGCCGGGGGCCACCCTCAGCTGCCACCTTTGTCTCTTACGGGGTGAGGACGGCCGGCCGCAGTGGGAAGCCGGCTGTGGAGTGTGTGTTTTTTCCTTTAAGGAGAGAGAAATTAAATAAAAGATTCTCACACCTCGGCAATATGTTTCCACTTATGTCTTAGCACCTGAGAGCAGGCCAGTGGGTTGTAAAAGGGTCTGCAGGTCCCCGCGGGGCCAGGCCATCGGGACCCCCCGTGGGGACCGCGGGCTGGAGGCCGCCCTCCCGCCCCGGCCCACAGAGAGTCTCACACTTTTCCCTTTTAAAACACATGGCACTGCCTTTTTAATAAAGGCAGTGGCTCCAGATTGAGAAGGAGGGAAAGAAATAAATTTTTAAAGGCCTGAGCTCTGTGGGAAAGGAGGGGAGGCAGGGGTGAACCCCGGGGTGGGGGGATCCGCTTTGGGGAGCCCTCCGGGACTCCTCCCCCAAGCCCCGGCTGAGCCCCAGCCCTAACCTCACTGACTGCTTCCGGCTGCCTCTTCACCGACAGCCCAGAGGGTCTGGGTCCGGTGCCTTGCCCCCCTTTTTTTGTGGGGGTCTGAGCCGCCACCCGGGCCCCCCGAACTGGGAGGGGTTGTAACCCTGGTAGCTCCTGGGTTCTGCACCGGCCTGGGCCCTCTGGTCCTGGGGGTCTCATTGCGTGCAGGTAACATGTACTCCTCCCACCCAGGGCCGCCTCCCAGGGCTCCTCTGACCTCTCCTGCAGCTGAGGGGGTGGGTACTGGCCTGTCCAGGCCCGCCTGGCCCTGCCTTCTCCCCTCAGCCCCCACCCAGGCCCGGGAGGGCAGCTGCAGCTGTCGGCAAAGCGGGCCATGCCAACCGGGGCCGCGGGGCGGGTGTGGCAGAGGGGCAGTGCCCCCCAGCCCGGACCCCCCAGAGAGTTCCTGCCAGGCCTGCGACTGGCGGGGGGGCGGCAGGACAGGCGTGACCGCCCCTGGGACGGGGGGGGGCCTGGGGTCCCCGGGCGGCCTGGCTGTGCCTCCCACCCTGCTGGTGCGGGGCAGGCCGGCAGGCGGGCGGGGGGGTTGGGGGGGACAGGCAGGAAGCGGTGGGTGGGCCAGGGTAGAGATGCTGGCACGGCACGCCCCAGTTCATGCCGAAGGAATTCCGAATTAGCGGGCGGCTGGCTGCCTGGGACCTCCGGGGCGGCCCCCTGGCCCCCGCCCCCGCCCCCGGCCGCCCCCGCCTCCTCGGCTCTGGCCCGCTCCGCCGGCTCCTTCGCACGGATGCTGGGACCTCCAGCGAGCCCTGGGCCAAGCCCCAAATGCAACTTCGATCCCAGGCTCCAATAAGACAGGGCCCTCCGGCCAAGTTGGCCCCGGGAACAATCCGTCAGGGCCGGCCCCGAAAACCGTGTCCACCCCACCTCGCCCATCTGGGGCTGGCACTCCGGGGGCCGCCCAGGGGAGCTTGGATCGCCCTGTCCTTGGCCGACATCTCTGCGGGGGGGGGGGGGTCCTTTTGCAAAGCAAATCTAACCGTGACCCTCCCTCCGTCCAGCTGGGGGGGGGCTGCTGCCCCAGGGCCTTTCAGACTGCTTCTCCCCGCACACTCCGGCCCCAGGATATTTGCACTCCCCCCCCCCCATGCCGTCTCCTCCTGGGTCTTGTTTATTCAGGTCCCTGCCCGGACAGGCTTGGGGGAGTGTGCAAAGGGGCTGCTTCTTTGGCTCCTGCTTTGTCCTCTCCCTTGTTGATTGTTAGATGCGTCTCCCCCCTCCGCCCCAGACCCACAAGGACAGGATTTTCCTATCTTGGTCACGGGGGGTGTGTCCCCAGCTCTCAGCATGATAAATGAGTGAATGAATGACTGACTGAACAGATGAGTGGATGACTCCTTACGCCGTTTGGGGTGGAAGGACTGGGCCCTCCTCTAGCTCAGAGAACCCGTGTGAGTGATGCCGTGGTGCCCACTTCCCAGATGGGCAAAGTGAGGCTCTCAGCGAGGCTTGAGCTGGGGGTCTGCCCCTGCTTCTCTGGGCCTTGGTTCCCCCGGGGCGAGTCGGGTTCCTCTTAGAGTCCGGTCTCCAACAGAGGATGGACGTCCTGGGCTGCCCCGGTGGCCTGCGGCAGAGAAAACACCAACCGCACAACCCGGCCGAGGAACTCCCTGGCCTTCACGAGGGCCCCAGAATCCGAGAGCTTTCTTGTACCCATTTTGCAGATTGGGAAAACTGAGTTGAGGCCCACCAAGTCCCTTCGCCTGGGAGTGGGCAGCCTTGAGCTTTGTTTCCATAGCCACCTTCCCCGCAGTGCAGAGTGCAAGTTCAGAGGCCGAGAACTGTCTAGGCTCAAAGCCGCCTCCCCCACCCGTCTGGCTGTCTCTCCTCTGATGGTGGAGGCCGGGGGACCCTCAGAGACTCAATGTTTTCATCCATGAAGTGGGCAGAAGTTGAGGAGACAATGCAGGCCACGTCGTAGCCTGGTTTTTATTTATTTGAAAGGCAGAGTGGCCAGAGAGAGAGAGGAAGGGGTCTTCCATCCGCTGGTTCACCCCCCAAATGGCTGCAGTGGCCAAGCCAAAGGCAGGGGGCCAGGAGCTCCATCCGGGTCTCCCACGCGGGTGCAGGGGCCCAAGCACTTGGCCCATCCACTGCTGCTTTCCCAGGCCGCAGCAGAGAGCTGGATGGGAAGTGGAGCAGCCGGGCCTCCACCCGGCGTCCGTCTATGGGATGCATAGGCGGCCACTTAGCCCGCAGCACCACAGCGCCGCTCCCTTAGCCTGGTTTTGGGACTATGACGGTGCTCGAAGGAAGGCTTTGTCCGGCAGAGCCTCAGGTTCCATGTAGTCTGGGCACCATCACACACGGCTCATACTCGGGGTGGGGGTGGGGCGCGAGTCCTCAGAGGGCCTGGCCTGGTCGGGGAGGGGTCTCGGCTCGGCAGCCCCTCTCCTTGCCTGACCGGGAACTCGTCTTTGACCCCAGACACAGCTGTGATCAGCCCCCAGGACCCCACACTTCTCATCGGCTCCTCCCTGCAGGCCACGTGCTCCGTGCACGGGGACCCACCGGGGGCCACCGCCGAGGGCCTCTACTGGACCCTCAACGGGCGCCGCCTGCCGCCCGAGCTCACCCGCGTGCTCAACGCCTCCACGCTGGCCCTGGCCCTGGCCAACCTCAACGGGTCCAGGCAGCAGTCGGGGGACAACCTCGTGTGCCACGCTCGCGACGGCAGCATCCTGGCCGGCTCCTGCCTCTATGTTGGCTGTAAGTGAGCTCCCCTCCCACACACACCCCGGGGGACCCGGAGGGACACGTGGCACAGGCCTGGGGCCCTGCGACCGGCACCCGGGGTTCCAGCCTCCTCCTGCCGCCCCCTCTCCTCCCCCAGTGCCCCCAGAAAAACCTTTCAACATCAGCTGCTGGTCCAAGAACATGAAGGACCTGACCTGCCGCTGGACGCCCGGGGCCCACGGGGAAACTTTCCTGCACACCAACTACTCACTCAAGTACAAGCTGAGGTTGGTGCCAGCCCGCGCGGGCTGCGCGCCCCTGGGCCGGTGCTGGCCGGCCGGCTCGGCTCCGAAACCCCTGCCGCCCGCCCCGGGGTGAGGCCTGCGGAGGCCCAGAGGGAGCCCCCTCCCCGTGTCCTGTCCCCGCAGGTGGTACGGCCAGGACAACACGTGTGAGCAGTACCACACGGTAGGGCCTCACTCCTGCCACATCCCCAAAGACCTGGCTCTCTTTACGCCCTACGAGATCTGGGTGGAGGCCAGCAATCGCCTGGGCTCCGCCCGCTCCGACGTGCTCACCTTGGACATCCTGGACGTGGGTGAGCCTCCCTGCTCCCCTGCGTTCTGTCTGTTTCCGGAGAGTGGGGAGGAGCGTGTCCCGCTTGCCCCGCCCCCGCCCCCCCCCCAGCCAGAGCCCCGGCTGCATCCCCCAGATGCGTCCCTGCTGGTTGGCGAGGGCATCCGTTCAGTAGCCCCGCGGCTAGGCTATCCCCACTCTGCAGAAAACACCTGGCCCGGCCACCCCCCACTTCCCCGGCAGCCCAGGTGTGCGGGGAGGTGGGGGCCCGGGGAGCAGCAAGGGGGCGCCCAGGTCGGGAGGCGCCCCAGGAAGCCTGGGCCTGGAGCTGGGGTGTGTGTGTGTGTGTGTGTGTGTGTGTGCAGGCAGGAGGCAGGAAATAGATGATCTGCAGCCGAATTGAGCCTAATCTAATTAGGGTGTTTCTCAGCCCCAAAGCAGGCCTGGGCCTTAACCCTTTCAGCCCCGCAGCGCGGCCTCAGGGGGAGAGGCCAGCCCTCCGCGCTCCCCCCACTCTGCGTCCCTCTGCCGTGCTCCGTCAGCGTCATTCTGAGGATCTTGCTGAAAGGGGGGGTGGGCTGCAGGTGTGGGGGGCGGGGGCGAGCGGAGGGGGTTCCTGACGGCCCCCTGGCCTCCTGGGCACGGTGAACCTAATTGCATTAGCCAGGCGATGTCTGTGGCTCCACAACCCGCTTTGAAGCCAGGGTCCTATTTCTCCTGTCACAGATAATAACGTTGATAAGAGCGCTTCCTGCATGTCCTCGCTCGTAATCCACACGACCCCGGGGCGGGCGCAGAGGGAGGAGAGGGGGACGGAGGCAGGTGCGGCGCAAGCCACGTGCCCTGGGCTCCACGGCCGGGGAGCTGGGGGCTGGGGGCTGGGGGGCTTGAACCCAGACAGGCTGTCAGGGAGCCAGCGCCATCCCCGGAGACCCCACACCCCCGCCCCCCCTCGCAGTGACCACGGATCCGCCGGCCGACGTGCACGTGAGCCGCGTCGGGGGGCTGGAGGACCAGCTGAGCGTGCGCTGGGTCTCGCCGCCGGCGCTCAAAGATTTCCTCTTCCAAGCCAAGTACCAGATCCGCTACCGCGTGGAAGACAGCGTGGACTGGAAGGTGCCCGCCCCGCCCACGCCCCGCCCCGCCAGCCCCGCCGCGCCCCTGACCTGCCTCCCCCAACCCCCGCCCCGCGCCCGCCAGGTGGTGGATGACGTCAGCAACCAGACCTCGTGCCGCCTGGCGGGCCTGAAGCCCGGCACCGTGTACTTCGTGCAAGTCCGCTGCAACCCCTTCGGTATCTACGGCTCCAAGAGAGCGGGGATCTGGAGCGAGTGGAGCCACCCCACGGCCGCCTCCACGCCCCGCAGCGGTGAGCGCCGCGCCGCGCGCACTGGTAGCCTTGGGGGCGGGGGTCCCCGGCTCTACTAGACCTGCCACGGGGGGGGGGGGGCCACCGGGCTGACCCCTCCCCCGCTCTCGCTGCCGGGACTCAGTTTCCCCTCCTGAGCCCGATGGGACTATCCTCCCCCGGGGGGGTTTCTCTGAAGGCGCAATTGCTGCAAACGTCTGGCCTCGGCGGCCCCAGCTGGACCCGGGGGTCAGGACACCCGGTCTGAGTGCCCCCCAAGGGTCCGCAGGCCTCCCATCCCCCACCTGGGACTTCCACCCCAAGGGAGACCCCCCCCCCTTTCTCAGAGACTCTGGGAGGGGCCGTGCACGGGAACGCCCTGAGGATGATAGGGAAACTGAGGCTCCCAGAGCTAGGGAGGGGCAGCCCAGCTCCCCAGCCCCCAGCCCGGGGCCCCTGCAGGTTCTGGGGAGGGCGGGAGGGAGCGCAGCCGGGAGGGGCCTGAGCCTTGGCCCTCGCTCGTGCCCAGCACCTGCGATTCTTGCATGGGAGCCAGCAGGCGGCTGCTGCGGCTGGGGAGGCGGGGGCGGCCTGCGGGGGCGGCGGGGGCTCCGGGGCCGTGCCAGGGCCTGTCAGCGGGACCCCAGCTTTATTTATGATGTGAGGCCGATGTCCTTATCCGCCGGCCTGCTCGGGGCCGGCTGCGGCCAGCGGCTGGACCGAGAGTTAGGGCCTCCCACCTGGCTCCTCTCGCCTGCTCCCGGGCCGGCCGTGGGGGTCGTCCCCTTGGGATCCACCCCGTTGCACGTGGTCTCCGCCACTGTCTCCTGTTGTCTCCCTGCCTTCCTCGGCCTCTCTGTCCTTGTCCCCAGGGTCTGTCCCTGCTGGGACCCTGTCTCCATCCTCTCCCATCGGAGCCTCCTGGGCTGTCCCCTCCTTGTCCCTGTCCCTTAATGTCAGCCTCTCTGGCCCTCTCACAGGACCTCTCCCCCTCTCTCTTTTTCAGCGCCCCCTCCCCCACCTGTCTGTGACCCCTCTGGCCTTGCCCTCTCTCCTCTCCTCCTCCCCACTTCCACGCACACCTGGCTCAGGCCACAGCAGCGGGGTCCCTGGAGGGAGGAGCCCTTCCCCCCGCGCTGCGTCCCACCTCCCCAAGGGGCGCAGCTGGGCTGTCGTGCGGGGTCCTGGAGAGAAGCGGGCTAGGTAGGGACCTTGCCCGCCCGGAACGCGGTCCCGCGGCGCGGGGGGCCCTCCCGCACGCCTGCCCGCGCGCGCCCCCTGCCGGGCGCGCAGTGACACTACCGCTCCCCACCTCCCCACCCCCACCCCCATCAGAGCGCCCGGGCCCGGGCGGCGGGGCGTGCGAGCCGCGGGGCGGCGAGCCGAGCTCGGGGCCGGTGCGGCGCGAGCTCAAGCAGTTCCTGGGCTGGCTCAAGAAGCACGCGTACTGCTCGAACCTCAGCTTCCGCCTCTACGACCAGTGGCGAGCCTGGATGCAGAAGTCGCACAAGACCCGCAACCAGGTAGGAGGGAGGGGCCCGCGGCGCCCGGGGCTGGGCTGGGGGCGTGCAGGGGCAAGCGGCGGGCAGCAGGCCGGGGAAGCGCACGCGCGCAGCCCTACACCGCGGCCTTCTTTCCAAGCACAGGACGAGGGGGTCCTGCCCTCGAGCAGACGGGGCGCGGCGAGAGGTAAGGGGGGGCCCGGGGGCCACCAGCATTTTTTTTTTTTAGCCTTTCCTTTTGAGCCACACGTGGTAGGTGTTAGCTTCCGCAGGCATCTCTGGGGATCCCGAATCGCCCGTGAGCACCTGTGGCCCCGCGGATGCCCCAGAGCCTGGCCCGGATGGGGGGTCGGGGAGGAGGGCCCAGAGAGGCGCCGCTGACGGTGGCCAGGACCTGAGTGCTGACCCAGCCCCCCTCTGCCTGCAGGTCCTGCCACATAAGCTGTAGGTGCAGGGGCCACCCAGCCCGGGGCCCCCCTGCACCCTCCTCCCTCGGCAGGAGCTCTGGCGGCCACGCCTGCCCATGCGAGGCCACCCTTGGGTGCACCCCGGTGTGTGGGTGGCTTCGGCGGTCCTGAACCCATGCAGCGGCTGGGGGTGAAGCTACTCAGGGCCCCTTTCGAGAGTCTGTTTAAATAAATGAGCTGTTTGGGTGCCCTGACTGTGAGGGTGAGTTGTGGGGGCACAGCGTGGGGCTGGGGGGTGGGGGATGAGACCCTTTGGAAACGGACTCCCCGCCCTCCCAGTTCAGCCGCCTCGGGGACCATCAAATGGCCAGTTACTGGGAGTGGTGGTTGGGGGGGTTCCCAGCAGCCCCTCGCCCACACACCCCAGGACACGGACATGGTGCGCCGGCCACGAAGTCCTTTATTAAGGGGAGTGCGTGCAGCCCTGGTGGGGGCGGGGGCCAGCAGCCCAGCGGGGCAGGACCCGGCCAGCTGGCGGGGTCAGGGCCGGGCAGGGCGCCACCGGCCCCCTTTCCCGGCTCCCTCGGCGCGCCCCTGGGGAGCCACCATCACTCGGCGGAGTCGGCCTCAAACTTGAGGTCTTGGAGGACCTCGCTGATCGCCTCCATGGTTTTAATTACCCTACAAGAGCGGATGGGAGCTATAAATACAACCCAGATGGGGCGAATTAGCCGCCACGGCGCAGCCCGCGCCAAGCCTCCAGGCTGCCCTTGGCGCGCGCGCTTCGGAGGGTGCCTGCAAGGCGAGGGGCGGGGGCCCAGGGACAAGGGGGGGGGGACCAAGCCTCGTGCCCTTGAGGGGTTCGGAGCGTGCCTGGCGCCCAGAGAGAGGCAAACGGCAGGCGCGTGCTCGACAGGGGAGCGGGGATCGCCGCGTCCGGGCCGTGCGCGCACCCTGAGCAGCGTGCGGCCGAGGTGTCCCCGTTGCGCGCGCCTGGGGCTGCCCGGCGGAGCAAGGCCGGAGGGTAGCCCGCGGCCGGGCGGGGTGGGGGTGGGGCAGCGCCCTGGGGCAGACGCCTCGCGGGTGCGCGCCGCGCGCTCATGCACTCACTTCATCTTCAGCCGTTGCGTCTGTCCCGCGTCCTCCTGCCCCGCCAGCTCCGGCGACCCCGCCAGCTGCAGCAAGGCCACCTGGGGGGGGGGGGCGAGGAAGTGGGGGACCTTGAGACACCCAGAGAGGAAGGGGTGGGCGCTGTGCGGGAGGAGTCTCGGGGCAAGGCAGGGGTGGGCGTGGCTCTACAAGGACGTTCCGGCTCGGGATGGGCGGTGGGCGTGGGGCAGGCGGGGCCTCTCGGGCCCGGAGGCGGGGTTAGAACCCCAGCGAAGGCTCGGCTTGCGGGACCGGGAGGGTCCCGCTAGGGAGGGTGTGGCCTGGGAATGTCGGGGGAGGGGCGACGTGGGCGTGGCCTCAGAACCCCAAGCACGTGGGAGGTGGGACCTAGGGTCCCCTCTCCCGCGGGCTTGAGAGGCCAGAAAGTGAGACAGCCGGGGGTGGGGGCCAGGAGGGGCCGGGGCCAGGAGGGGCCCCGCGGGGGGCGCGCCCTGCGCGGCAGGGCCGTGGCCTCACCGTGGTCAGACGCGTCTGCTCCAGCTGCTGCAGGCTGCGCACGTGGCCGGCGAGCCGCGGCTGCGCGCGGGGCCCGGCCAGCTCGGCCTCCAGCGCCAGCACCTCCCGCGAGGCGGCGGCGAAGGCCTGCGTGACCTCGTGCACCGCGCTCCGGTAGCTCGCGAAGTCGTAGTCGGGGCCGCTGCGCACGTACTGGCGGTGGGCTCTGCGGCGGACGGGGGTCCTGAGGCCGCGCCCCCCTCCGAGGCGCCTCGCTCCGCCCTCGGGGCCCACGCCCGTACTCACTCCAGGCGGCGGTGGGGGTCCTGAGACCGCGCCCCTGCTCCCCGCCCCCAAGGCACCCGGGGACCGGGGCGCCCCCTCCGCCCTCGGGGCCCGCGCCCGCACTCACTCGTCCAAGCGGCGAAAGGCCTGCGCGCGCTCGGCCTGCAGCTGGTGCACGCGCTGTACCAGCGTCCAGATCGGCGCGTCTTTCTGCGGGGCGGGGGCACGGCTGCGGCTTGAGCCGGCGCCCCTGGCCCTGCGCCGCCCGCCCCCCGGCCCCCGGCCGCGTCCTGGCTCACCCACGGCCACGCCGGCTCCTCGCGCTCCGCGGCTCCTGGGACCGCCGCGGCCCCGTCGGGCACCATGGCTGTGCACGCGCGCCGCGCCCCGGAGCAGGCCGCTGCGCCTCGCAGGGCGCCCCCTGCCGGCCCGGAGGTCTGCGGACACCGAGCCGCGGCGGGCGGGCCTGGAGGGGCGGAGGCAGCCCGGGCTCGCTCAGAACCCCGCCCCCCCAGCTCGCGGCAGGTGTCCGGCCCCTATCAACACCGACTCCGGTCTCGCGTGCTGCCCACAAAGACGACCCGTTCCCGACGCAAAGCACAGGTGCGCGGGCAGGCACTAGGCGGCCCGTCACAGGGGCTTGTGTGCAAAGGCCCTGAGGCGGGCACACGGGCCTCGGGGCATCGTGACACACGGGGCGCTGGGGAGGTGGCCTGGCACGGCGCCCCGAGGTGCTGGGCGGGAGGACCAGGCTCCCGTCAGCGTTGCCCGGCAACAGAGCCCCAGAGCAAGTGTTCCTTTCTTGAGAGCCGAAGTGTGGGGGTGGGCAAAAAGGGGGCTCCCTCCGCTGGTCCAGGAGCCGGACTGGGCCCCAAGCTGGGAACTCCGTGCAGCCCCTGTACAGGCAGGGCCCGCGCACCTGCTGCCTCCTGGCCGCCTTAGCAGGGAAGCGGCTCAGCAGCGCCCCCCCCCCCCGACGGCCAAGGTCAGGCCTGCAGGGACCCCGTCCCCGCGAGCGGCGGCCACCCCCCCCCAACAGACCAGCCAGGAGACACCGGTTATGCTCCAGTAACCGAGGGGAAGATTTATTGGGGGGCGGGGCGCACGGAGACCACGCCCCCGGGCGGGCGCGGCCTTATTTGACCTTCTTCTTGGGGCGCAGGTTGTTGGTGTGCCCGCACTTCTTCTTGCGGCAGTTGACGGCGCGGGGGTGCAGGCGGGCGTAGCACCTGCGCGGGCAGGGCGGGCGGCGGTGAGGGCGGGGGCACCGCTCCGCTCCCCGCCGGGGACCCCCTCTCCCTCCCCTCCCCTCCCCGCCGCCCCCCGCGCACGCGCACTTGCGGCAGATCATCTTGTCGCAGTTGTACTTCTGCGCCAGCTGGCGGAGCGAGGGCTCGATGATGCCGCCGCGCAGGCGCAGCACCAGGTGCAGGGTGGACTCTGCGGGGCGGGCGGCAGCTCAGGGGCCGGGGTCTCTCCCGCGCCGCACACCCCCCATCCCCCCGGACCCTGGGCCCCCACCCCCCGCCCGCACCTTTCTGGATGTTGTAGTCCGACAGGGTGCGGCCGTCCTCCAGCTGTTTGCCCGCGAAAATCAGACGCTGCTGGTCAGGCGGGATGCCTGCAAGGGGGCGAGCGGGGGCCTCAGCTCCTCCCGGGGCGGCGGGGGTCCCACAGTACAGCCCCCCGAAAAGGGAAACTGAACCCGGTCCAGACCCAGCCTCATCCCAGCCAGGGGAACTGGGGCCCGAGACCCAGCCTCGCATGCGCAAAGGGTCCGGGGACCCCAGCCCAACCCCATCACACCTACGGGTACCCCAACCCACACGGGGACCCCCAACCCCAGCCTTCATCCCACACACAGGACCCAGGGGGCTCCCAGGCCCGGCCCCATCACATGTATCCGGGGGATACCCCAGCCCAGCCCCCATCACACACACGGGACCCAGGGAGCCCCATCGTGTGTACCCGGGGACCAGGACCCCCCAGCCCGGCCCCACTCACCCTCCTTGTCTTGGATCTTGGCTTTGACATTCTCGATGGTGTCGCTGGGCTCGACCTCGAGGGTGATGGTCTTGCCCGTCAGGGTCTTCACAAAGATCTGCATCGCGGCGCCCGCGGAGCTGGTGGGGCGCACGGCGGTGAGCGCCTCCCCCTCCCCACGCCACGCACCCCGCCCCGCACACGCCTGGACTCGGCCCCGGCCGCCCCGCTCAGCCCCGCCGGCTCCCGAGACCCCTCCTCTCGCCCTCACTGCATTCCCGGGCAGCAATGGCTGCCGCCGACACGTGCCGGGGGCCCGTCTACACCCGCAGTCTCATCAGACAGGGTTAACCCGGGCGCCGCCACCAAGGGCAGCCGGCCCGCAGAACGCGGTCCCCTTGAAGGAGCCGGAGCCGGCGCCGGCCGCCCCCTCTGCCCCCGCCGCGGACGCGCCCGCCCCGGGCCTCGCTCCAGGCCCCGGGCCTCGCGGGCCGGCCCGTCCGCACGGCTGCCGCTGCCCTCGGCGGCGCCCCCCGAGCTCGGAGCCCCGGCCGCACACCCCCGGCTCCGCCATCCCGCCTTCCCCGCCGCGCCCCACGCGACCCCGCGCGGCCTCCGCCACCGACCCGCTCGACCGCCTCGTCGAAGAGAAAGAGGGCGGCGGAACCGGAAACCGGAGATGGGCCGCCGAGAGCGCCTGCGCGCTGGCGCCTGCGTCACAATCCCCTCGGGCCCCGCCCCGGCGCCATGTTCAGTGCTGGCGATCGAAGCCACGGCGCGTGTGGGCAACTCCCTTCCGAGTGTGCGCTCTCCGCCCCCGCCCGGCGGCCGGGGTGCCGGGTCAGGTGCGCGGACCGACGCACCTGGCCAGGTGTTGGGGCCTCCGGCCTCCGGGGACACTGCTTGAGCAGAGGGTCTGGGGGCGGGGGCAGGCAGGAGGCCCAGGGCCCGGAGGTAGGCAGGGACCCCTGGGCTTGGTTGGTAGAGCCCTCTCCCTTGGTTGGTGCGCACGGGCGGACCAGGTAGGGCAGGTGAACCGGTGCCTCCGCCCCCATAAAGGTTGGTGGGCGGCGGCCAGGCAGGGTCTGGACCGTGGACGGAGGCTCGGGGGTAGTCCGGCCTGTTAGAGGTGAGGTCACCCCGTCCCCTGGGCACCTTGCAGGGCCCTGTGTCTCCCTGCGCATTCCCGGAGCGGGAGCCCGCCCTCTGGCCCGTGCCTTCCTGACACCGTCTCCAAGTGCTCCCAGGACGGGTAGCCTTCGGAACAGGCCCCTGTCTTGGGTCCACCTCGAGGCTGCGGAGAGGGAACCGTGTCGCTGGCAGTGGGAACAGCACCTGCGAGGCCCAAGGAGCCGATGGGACCCCGGGCGCTGCGGGCAGCCAGCCCCCCACCCAGAGCAGCCAGTGCGTGTGCGCCTCCAGCCCCCCCCCCCACGCCGGGGGCTCTGGTGCACCTGCCAGGCCCAGATGGAAAACCCGCGGGAGCCAGACGCAATGTTCCCTTTGCAGTCGCGGCCTCTCTTTATTGATAACTTCGCAACGGCGTGTGAACATCGGGTACAAAAATATTCCGTTCAGCTCTGCCGGCCGGGGTGGCCAGGCCGGGGCTCCATCCTGCTGCCCCCCGCCCACGGGAGGAACGTCCAGCTCTGTTAAAGGGGTGGGGTGGGGTGGGAGCTGCTCCCCCGCCGTGGGGGTCCTGGCCCGGGCATCGGGCTGTGGCCTCTGGGGCTTGCCGCAGGGGTCCGCGGACGTGCTGCGGGGGTCCTGCGGCCCCGGGGCGGGGCTGTCCCGCCAGCCCGGGCCGCCCGCCCGCGGCGCGGGGCTACTGGCCCTGCGGCTCCTCCTCGGACTGGCTGTGGCCGTTGAGGGCGGGGGAGCCGGGCCGGGCGTGGGCCAGGTCCTCGAAGCCGGGGCTGAGGGAGGGCGAGACGGTGTCGGGGCTGGTGTCGTAGGAGCCGGAGCTCTGCTCCGAGGTGGCGATGGTGGTCGTGGTGCTGGGCGGGATGGGGTCCTCCTCCTCGTCCTCCAGGAGCGAGGCCTCGGGGATGTCTGCGAGAGGAGGCGGAGGTGGGGCCCCGACGGCCCGCCCACCGCGGCCACGGCCCCGCCCACCTTCCGGGGGAGGGGGGAGGCCCAGGCTGTGACGGGGCGAGGGCACGGGCCCTGGGGGCGCGCCTGGCTCTGTCCTCATGCTGGCCCCTGGGCCCTGGGCCGGGAACCGCCCCTGCCCGACTCCGCTCCCTGCTCTGTGCCTGTCACGGGCCCATTCTGCAGAGGTACCCGGGGCTCGCTCGGGGCTCGCGGTGGGCTGGCAGCCACGTGGGGTGGCAGCCGAGGGCGAGCCCGCAGCGGTGAGCTCAGGCCGGGCCCCTGGGCCTCCGTTGTCCCGGCTGGGAAATGGGGAGACTCGCAGCGCGGCCCTGCCTGGGGGTCGCGGGGACCCGGTGAGGCTCCGCCTTGGGGCAGCGGTGCCGCTGGGAGGCCCCTTGCCCACCGCCCCGCCCCGCCCCGGCCCGGCCCGCCCGGGGACACTCACGGCTGAAGGCCTCGGGGTGCTGCCGCGCCAGCTTCCCTTTCAGCGTCCTGCGGGCGGGACAGGAGGGAGAGCGCGTGGCTGCCGGGGGCGGGGCCGGCGGCCTCCCGGGCCTCCCGGTCCCTGAACGCCCCCAGTGGCCGCGACGGCTCCGCTCGCCCGGTGGCAGGGCCCGGCTCTCGCGGCCACCCCAGGTGCGTGGGCAGGGAGCTGGATCGGACGTGCAGCAGCCGGGACTCGAACCTACGCCCGGACGGGATGCCAGGATGCCGGCGTTGCGGGCCCTGGCTTCGCCTGAAGGCCACAGCGCCGGCCCCCCGGGGCCTTGACAGCCTGTGCCCGTCTGTGTACAGAGTGGCAAAGGGGTCTGCTGCCCGCCACGCCCCCTGCTGCCCAGGCAGCCAAGCTCACACGCAGTCAGGGAGCTCCTCTTCCGGTCCAGCTCCCCGCTGTGGCCTGGGAAAGCAGTGGACAGTGGCCAAGCCCTGGGGCCCCTGCACCCGCGTGGGAGACCCGGATGGAGCTGCTGGCTCCCAGCTCCAGCCTGGCCCAGCCCTGGTCATGGCGGCCATGTGGGGAGTGACCCAGCGGAGGGAAGACCTCTCTCTCTCTAACTCTGCCTTTCCAATTAATTAATAAATAAATAAAAAAAGCCAGGATGCTGGCGCAGGGCTGGGCGCCCACCTGATGCGGCGGAAGATGCTGTCCAGGTCGCGCTTCATCTCGCCCAGCGCGCGCGTGTGCTGCAGGAAGCGCTCGCCCATCTGCTGCAGGCGGCCGCTGGACAGCTGGTTAAAGTTGAGCAGCATCTCGTTGGTCTTCTCGAAGCGGTCCAGCCTGGCGCCAGAGAGAAGGCTCCTATTCAGTCCTCAGCGCCCCAGTAAGGGTGTCCCGTGACGGCGCTGCCTGCCCCTGGGGCCCTGGCAGCTTCAGGGTGCTCTGGCCCAGCCCTGGCATGTGGCGCCGTGGGGGTCTGTGTCCTGTTTTGTCTACGCCCCGTCTGGGAGCTTCCCCAGGGTCAAGTCTGCAGCCAGCGCTGTGGCGTGGCGGGTAAAGCGGCCGCCTGCAGTGCCAGCATCCCGTGTGGGCGCCGGGTCGAGTCCCAGCTGCTCCACTTCCCATCCAGCTCTCCGCTGTGGCCTGGGAAGGCAGGGGAAGATGGCCCACGTGCATGGGTCTCCACCACCCTGGGAAGACCTCCTCTCCCCCTCTGGCTGTCACTCTGCCTTTCAAATGAACGAAAATAAATCACTCCCAGGATGCACCGGTCCTCCTCTCCCCAGCAAGGCAGCTGGAATCGGGGTGAGGCTGTGGCAGGCTCCGAGCCCGCCTGTGGGAGGCAGGTATGTCCCGCCGCCCTCCCCAAGAGACCCCGGGGGGCTCGCCACACAGCTCTGTGCCTCTGGTCCCGCCGTCCCCCCGCCTCCCCGCCCAGGAGCCCGGCCAGGGAGGAGGCCAGGGGAGCCAGCAGGCAGATCCAGCTCCCTGCGTTTGCATCAGGAGCGCGGCCGGAGTGGGCTCCCGCCCCGCCCCGCCCCGCCCCGCCCAGCCGGGGCTCACATGTTCTTCTGGGCCAGGATGATGGCGTTGACGTCCTCGGCGTTCACCATGCTCAGGACGCGGCTGCAGAAGACCCCGGAGGCCGAGTCGGGGGCGTCCATGTCCTCCTCCTCCTCCTCCGCGGCCTGGAGCAGGCGGGAAACACAGACTGCAGGGGGCTCCGGCGCGCTCTGGATCGGTACGGCTTCCCGGGGTCCCGGGCGCCTGCACGGAGCTGCTGCTGCTGCCTCCCAGCCCCCACCCCCGCCTCTGCACCTGCTGCCCCCACAGAACACGTGCGGCAAGGCTGCCTCATCGGGTCGCCCCCACGGGGGGGCGGGGTCTGCGGCGTGGAGCAAGGGGTTAGGGCTCCACGTGTGACAACCGCATCCCATGTGGGTGCCAGTTCGAGTCCCGGCTGCTCCACTTCCAATCCAGCTCTCTCTGTGGCCTGGGAAAGCGGCGGAAGATGACCCAAGTGCTTAGGCCCTGCACCTGCGTGGGAGACCCGGATGGAGCTCCTGGCTCCTGGCCCAGCCCTGACCATTGTGGCCATTTGGGGAGGGAAGCCGCCGCCGCCTTCTCCCTCCCGCCGGGGTCTCTGGGCCGGCCCCTGCAGACCCGGCTCTGACGGGGTTCGCCTGTTGTTAGCAAGTCCCAGGCACTGGGAGCCCCACGACCCAGACGTCCTGGACAGTGCCCGCTCTCACGGGCACACGAAGGACCCCACCCCAGTGGGCTGGGCCTCCCAGACCATGCGAGGCCCAGCAGCGGCGGGCGGGGGTGGGAGGGTCAGGAAAAATCTGGAACCTTGGCATAGCTTGGCCGCCAGGCCCACGCGCGAGATGACAGACAGCCCCATTTACAGCTGGCCGAGACTCGGAGCCCACAGCATCCACCTACTGAGCGCCTACTGTATGTGGCACACGCTCACTGCGCTCGGCGGTCACACAGCCCCCGAGCCCAGGCCAGGGTCCGAGCGGCCGCGGCCCTGGGCAGCACCCAGGTGCACGTGCGTCTGACGGGCCCCGCCCACGGCGGGGGGACAGCTGCTTCCTACGACAGCTGATAAAAACAATTTTTTCCCCATGAAATCGCCTTATTTGCCACTGTTAGCCAGGAATTCTTTTTATCCAAAACATCACGGGAGCCAGGACTGCTCGCGCCCTGACCCCGGCAGGTGGCTCGCCGCCCCTGGACACGCGCTAGGACTGTCTGCAGAGCAGGGCCACCCACGCGCTGTCCGGGGATCAGGGCAGAGGCTCCAACCCCGGGCCTGTCGCTGGCTGCCTCTCTCAGGAAGCCTTCCGGGCTGCACATCCCAAAGGGAACTCACGCAGCAAGGGCCCCGGTTTCAAGTGGGGGAGGGAGGGATCAGTTTTCTCATCCAGGAAATGGGAATGGGGGGCGGTGAAGGCAAGGTGGATTGTGGGCGGAGCTTGGAGCAGGTGTTTCCCCACGGGGTCCAGCCTGTTGAGGGCATCCCACGTGACTGCAAGAGGCGGAGCTAACTGCACAACGTCGCACTGAATTCCCAGCCACCCCTGCGAGGGTCGCCCACACCGTCGGCTGAACTCCCCACTCCGCGCCCCGGTAAAGACAGCCCGGGTGGGGCGGGGCTTGGGTCTACACCCGCAGGCTCCGCCCACACGAAGCGGGGAAACTGAGGCACCGGCAGGTGAACGCCCAACTCCAGGTCACACCGCACCGTCGGAACGCTGGTGGCCCCAACGCCCGCGCCCCGCACGGCGCGCCCCACCCCGGGCAGCCCGGGGACGGCGCCCGACCCGGCCCGGCTCCCCGCCGCCCCGGCGTCCCGCTCCCCGCCCCGCCCCAAGCTCAGCCCCGGAGGCGGCGGCGGCACCTGCACATCTGGCAGCCTCGCTCGCGCTTCCGGGATGGCGTCCGCGCCGCCGCGACGTCACCACGCACGGGCGCTCGCGGCGGCGGCGCACTCTGGGGCCGACGTGCGTGCGCGCGTGCGTGGTGGGGGCTCGGCAGGAAGAGGCGGGCTCGCTCGCCCTGCGTCACAGCCCACGTCCAATCAAACGGGCTCTCGTGCGCCTGCGCAGTCCGCGCGGCTGAGCCGCCGGAAGGGGTTAGGTCGGAAGGTATGTCCAGGGCTGATGTCCGCAGTCTCCCCCAGTCCGTGAGAGCTCCCAGGCTCCCGTCGCTTTGAATGATCTTAGCATTTAAGAACTTTTTCCTAAGATTTTTTTTATGTACTTCAGAGGCAGAGAGAGAGAGGTTTTCCATCCGCTGGTCACTCCCCAGATGGACACTGGGCCAGGCCGCAGCCGGGAGCTCCATCCGGATCTCCCGCGCAGGTGCAGGGCCCGGCATGCTGCCCCCAGGCCCTCAGCCCGGGGCTGGACCGGTCCCGAGCTGCAGAGACTGAAGCCAGCGCCGCCGCCTGGGGTGCGGGCGCCACAACGCGGCCCCCCAACAAGGATTTTTTAAAATAATTTTTAGAATTTTTGGGGGGCCGGCGCTGTGGCATAGCGGGTAAAGCCGCCTCCTGCAGCGCTGGCATTCCCTATGGGCCCCGGTTCGAGTCCCGGCTGCTCCACTTCCGGTCCAGCTCCCTGCTATGGCCTGGGAAAGCAGCGGAGGATGGCTCAGGTGCTGGGCCCCTGCACCTGCGTGGGAGACCCGGATGGAGCTCCTGGCTCGTGCGCACCGGTGGGAAGAAGCTGGGTCGCAGACCCCGGCTCTCAGATCTGGGATCCAGGCTCCCAGCGGGCGTCTTGGCTACGTTGTTACTGCCGCCTCTGCTGAAAAGCCCCGGGGACCAGGATTCTTACGGAGTTTGACAGTTTTTAAAGACTTTCCCTCCCGCCAGGTGTGGCCCGTGTTCTGGGACCCCAGGGACCACTTAGGTCCTGCTTAGGCCTGGAAGGAAAAAGGAGATAGAGTCAGAGGCAGACGCCCCCAGCCTCGCGGGGCTTCTGTGTTTGTAAAGAATAGGAAGGACCCTCCGTGCGCAGGAACCTGAGCCGTTGTGAGCGCTCGTTTTGGGAGCAAGGGAGGTTGCGGGGAGGCAAACCCCATCTAGCTGGGGTTTTGAGGTTGGAGTAGGAGTTTTGCAGGCAGTGGACGTGACTTGGGGCTGTAAGAAACGATGATGGGAAACCACACGGTGTGGGCTTGACCGTTGTAAGGGGGGGGGGCTCGGTGAGCCCGCGGCGGCCAAGAGCTGAGAGAGGGGCCCTGCTGGGGGAAGCTGCTCGATCCATGGCCGTGTGCAGGCTGCCGCAGGGGGCCCTGCCAGAGGCCGGGGCACGTTTCTGGGAGCCCCAGACGGGTAGGGACAGAGGGACTTGGGGGCCCCGAGGACTGGAGACGAAATGTCCTGGTGTCCTGTGTGTTTACGGGAGAGGGTGGTGAGCGCAGGGCCGCCCCGTCCAGCAGGAGAGACCCATGGGAGGGCACTCGCAGCCCCCTCCTCCGCCCTGTTTTGGTTGCGTTTGCTCCACGCGTGTCCCCGGGTGGGCTCAGCCACTGGCCACCCTGGCCAGGGAGGGGACCTGGCCCACGTTGCCCTCCATGGCCGCGACCTTGAACAAGCTACGCCATGCCTCCGTTTCCCTGGCCATACAGGAAGCTCTCGGGAGTCGTACCAGATACCCCCATTCGTCCCTAAAGAAGGCCAACGTGGTGCCAGCATCCCATGTAGGCACGGGTTCGAGTCCCGGCTGCTCCACTTCCCATCCAGCTCTGCTGTGGCCTGGGAAAGCAGTGGAGGACGGCCCAGGTCCTTGGGCCCCTGCACCCGTGTGGGAGACCCGGATGGAGCTCCTGGCTCCTGGCTTTGGCCTGGCTCAGCTCTGGCCGTCTGTCAAGTGAACCAGTGATTGGAAGATCGATCGATCCCTCTCTCACTCTGCCTTTCAAATAACTAAATCTTAGGAAACAGGAACACAGAGTGGTGAAGGTTTATATCCAAATGTGTCCAAAATTACATCAACTGTAAATAGATCAAATACTGGCGGTAAAAGGCAGGGACGGGCCGGCATCAAGGCCGGTGCCCACGATGCCCACGCCCACCGGGGAGCTCCTGGGTCTGATTCCTGGCCCCGGCCCTGCCTGCGCAGACCCCAGGGGTGGCAGTGAGGATGCAGGGTGACTGGGTCCCCCCGGCCGCCCAGCACACGCGGGAGCCTCACCTGAGCACCCAGCTCTTGGTTTAAGCCCCAGCCACTGTGGGCGTCTGGGGCTGAATCTCTCTCCCTCTCCGTCTTCCTCCCTCCCTCTCTTTCTCTCTCTCTCTCCCTCTCTCTGCCTTTCAAGTAAGTGACCAAGTACAAGCCAAAGGCGAGACCGGCGTGCAGAGTCCACGCTCGAGATTAGGGGAGCACAGGACGGCGGCCAGTTCCCTCCCGGGGGGACCTGACCCTCGGACTCTGTGTGAGGCCCAGGAAGCATTCCACCAGGGTCTGCCTGTGCCTGGCAGGGGACCAAGCACTCGGGCTGTCGGCCACCGCTTTCCCAGAACATTAGCAGGGAGCTGGATCCGAAGTGGAGCAGCTGGGACTCGAACCGGTGCCCCATGGGATGCCGGCACCACAGGCTGCAGCTTTACTGGCTACGCCACAGCGCCGGCCCCTGGCCTAGGGTTTGTGTGATGCCCCTGCCTTGGTGACTTCTCACGGCCCCCTGCTGGTTCTGTATGGCCTGCCTTTCGCAGCGACTTCCCTGGGTGCCCGGGACCTCGTGCCTGGCAGGTGCTCAGGCCTCAGGGCTGGGGGAGTGGGGGCTGGGATCCCGCAGCAGGTGTGCGGTGGGCCAGGCAGAGGTGAACTAACCGGGGCAGGCGTTCTTGGGAAGCATGTGTCCTGGGTTCGAATCCTGGCTCCTCCCCTTCCGATCCAGCCCTCTGCCGCTGGGCGCCCAGCCGCCCACGTGGGAGACCCGGATGCAGCTCCGGCCTCTGGGTTTTAGCTCGGGCCAGACTTGGCTGTTGTAAGTACTTGGGGAGTGACCCAGGTGGAAGATCTCTCTCTCTCTCTCTCTCTCTTTCTTTCTCTCTCTCTCTGCCTTTCAAATAATTCGACAAAGCGGCTAGATGTTGTAAACCACCAGGCTAACCTGGTCTTGCCGTGGGGGTGGTCAGGGAGGGCTCCCTGGAGGAAGCTGACTGGGATCTCATTCATTTATTCACTGCATTCATTTGTTCAACTATTGAATCACTGCATTGCCTCGCAACCGCGTCACCCATCGGGGAGGCGCTGGGTGCAAAACAGGAAAAAAGAAAAATAAACTCCCCGCCAGGACAGAGCGAAGTGGGGGTTGGGGATGTGGGAGCGCACCTCTAAGCCAAGGAACGCGCAGATCTTTCTGGAAAGGGGCGGCTGCCCAGGAGGAAGTGAACCTGCGAGGGAGGAGCCAGTGCCCCGGCTTCAAAACAAGCGGAGAAACTCTGTCCGGCCTGGCCGCGCGCGCGCCCCCTCGCCCTGTGTCCGAGCGAGCGTGCAGCAGGGACCTCTCTGGGGCCCCTGCGCGCTCAGCTGCCCGCCCACCCAGCCGTTATTGAGCGCCTTCTGCATGCATCAGGGAACCCTCCAGGAAGACAGAGACCCCGCGGGGTGGGGGGAACGCGGTGTCCTTGGGCACATTGCCCCCGACCCCCCACCCCGGCGCCTCGCAGAGCTGGGGCCTCGGGGTGGGCTCCCCGGACCCAGCCGGCGCTTCCTAAGGCCCCTCCCCGCGGCCCCCCGAGAGTGCGAGCGTGGCGGGGGGTTTATCCCCATTCAGCAGACGAAAGCTCAGACCCGAGCCGGGAGCGGCGCCGGGCGGTGCGGCGCGGACCCGCGGTCGAAGTCCATCCCAGAGGCCCCCCGCCCCCGCCCTGAGCGGCCGGGAGGCGTCGGCCCCTTTAAGAACGCCCCGCGGAGCCAAGCAGGAAGGGGGCGGTGCCCGCGCCCGAGACGGACGTGCGCGCAAGCCAATACGCGCGGCAGTGGCGGCGGCGGCGGCCAATGAGCACAGCGGGGGTGGGGCCCGGCGCCCGAACCTGGTTCCCGAGGCGCGGCGGCCGCGGCTGGGGGCGGGGAGGGGGGCGCAGGACCCCAGGCGGGGGTCCCGGAGCCGGAGGCACGTGTCCCGGGGCGCCGGCGGGGTCGCGCTGGCCGGGGCCACCGTTCGGGCCTCGGCGGGTTCCGGGGCTCGGCGCGGCGGGGGCCGCGGCCGATGGGCGGGGCGAGGGGCCGCGGGGGAGGCGAGCGCGGGGCGCGGGGGTCGGGGGTGCCTTAGGGGGGCTCGGCCTGCTGGGAGCGACGGGGCTGGCGGCCCGAGGGAGCGAGGGAGAGCCCGCGGGGGGCGCTGCCGATCGCTGCGTGCAGGGCCGGGGGTGCTCGCGGGGGTCGGGGGGCTCTGAACTGGTGGCGTCAGACGGGCGTGGGGCGCTGGGGGCGTCCCGGGGGCGGAGGGTGCTGAGGGTCGGGAGGGGAGCGGCAGGGGACGCCGGGGCGACCGAGCGGCCGTGGGGGGGGCTGGCCCGGCTGGGGGCGGGGGGCATTCGTGCGTTCGCAGGGGGTTGTGGGGGGCCCGAGCCCCGGAAGCGGCGGGCAGGTGAGGGTTAGGGAGGCGGTACTGCGGGTTCCTGGGCGCTTGGGGCCTGAGGGAGCCTGGGGGTCGCTAGGGCTAGGGGCTCCCAGCAGGCCTGGGCAGGGAAAAAACTAGGAACAAGCCAGGGCCAGGCCGGGCGGGTGGGGTGGGGTGGGGGTCTCTCCCTCGAAGGCTGCTTGGTGGGGGGCCCAAGGGGGCCTGATGGAAGTGGGTTAGCGCCAGGGTCCCCGAAATAGGAGTTGGGGGTCAGGATTAGCTGAGGGTGAGGAAGGAGAAGGCTGGGGCGGGGGTGTGGGTGGTGGTGTCCATGTCTGTCGGAGGAGCTGGCTCCCCTGGGGAGAAGGGGCAGGTGGAGGTGGGCAGGCCCTGGCTGGAATCCATTCCCCACATAGCCTGGGAGCCCTAAAGATGGCTTCCCTGAGGCCTGGGGGTGCTCCGTCGCCCCCAGCACCCGCCCTTGGCATGCAGTCCCAGAAAGCCCCCAGGGTCTGTCCCTGCCCTGCGATTGCTCCGTGTGACCTTGGACCCCTACCTTTGCCCCGCTGGGTCTGTTTTCTAATCTGCAGAATGGGTGGGGGGGCTGTGTGTGGAGAGGGACGGTTCCTACTTGCTGAGATGTTTATAAAAATTAAATAATCATTAGCTCTAATAATAGCTAACACTCTCAGCCTCATGCCTGGCGTTTGAGGCGTGGGTTGTTTTGAATTCCCTTCCGGGTTGTTGTACCCACTGTACGGATGAGAGGACTGAGGCCCGGGAGTTCCCGAGTCCCCCTGCTAGTGGTCAGCCCTGGGTGTGTGTGGGGAGGGGTGGGACAGAGGAGACTCCGGGGGGCTTACCTCCCTCCTGTCCGTCCCCCCTGTCCCCAGGGCCAGTTCCCGTGCCCCCAGCACCATGGCTTCCTGCGCCGAGCCCTCGGAGCCCAGGGCCCCGCCGCCGGCTGGGGTCCCGCCGCTGGAGGACTTTGAGGTGCTGGACGGGGTGGAGGAGGCCGAAGCGGAGGAGGAGGAGGAGGAGGACGATGACCTGAGCGAGCTGCCGCCACTTGAGGACATGGCACAGCCCCCGCCGGACAAGGCCGAGGAGCAGCCGGGGGCCCTGGCCCGGGAGTTCCTGGCTGCCATGGAGCCGGAGCCCGCCCCGGCGCCGGCCCCCGAGGAGTGGCTGGACATCCTGGGTAAGGAGCGGCGGGGTCTGGGGCTGACCTTGGTGACAGCCGCGTGACAATTGCTGAAGTCCACTCCTGGCGCTCTCGCTCTCTCTCTCTCTCTCTCTCACACACACACACACACAGAGCTGCCAAGAGGCCCAGGGAGGCTGAGTCACCTGCCCGGAGCCGCACAGCAGCCCGGCGCCCGCAGCTCCCTGCCCCCACTGCATCTCTGCCCAGCCCTCGGGTGACACTGAGGTCGGGTTGTGCAGTTGAGCCGTGGGGTGGGGTGGGGGTGGGTGGTGGGAGCTGCTCCATGCGGTCTTTGTGAACCGTTCTGAAGGCAGGGACCAGGTGAGCCCGCCCCCCCATCCCGGGACTCATTAGTATTCCGTGGAGGGCGTGGGTGTCTCCCTACCGAGCAGTGCGGTGCCCACGCGGGTGCGGGGCCGACAGCGACACCCCAGCCACGGCACCAAGGAGCAGAAATGCCACCACCCGCACCGCCACTCATCCGAATCCCCGCTACCTCTAAAAATAACCCCAGGGAGTACTGAGGCTGGCCTGGCCTGCACGCCTTTTTTTTTTTTTTTTTAAGATTATTTATTTGAATGAGACAGAGAGGCCATCCGTCCACTGGTTTACTCTCCAATGCCAGCAGCAGCCGGGGCTGGGCCGGTCTCCTGCAGCCGGGAGCCAGGAGCTCCATCCCGGGGCTCCCACGTGGGTGGCAGGGACTCGAGTCCTTGAGCCGTCACTGCCGTCTCCCAGGGTGCGCGTGCGCAGGGGGCTGGCTCTGGACGCAGGGCTGCTAGGACTGGAACCAGGCGCTCCGATACGGGGGTGCGGGCCCCGTGTCTGTGACCACCCCATCCCCATTTCACAGATGCTTGCCCGAGGTCACACAGCGCCCCCTGCCGGTGCCTGCGGATAGCTGCCGAGCTCCCGGTCCCCCGAGCTTGGCGCTGTTGGTTTATTGGTTTAGTTTGTGCCGGCGCTCCCCGAGGTCAGCACCTGGTGCCCGTGAGCCTCGAGATGTGGGGGTTCCCACACTGGACGTGGGGCCTGTAGGAAGTTGGGGAGCACCCCAGCAGTCTAGAAGGTTCTGGGATATGTGTCCCTAACCTGTAGGCTCGGTCCACTCAGGCTTGTGAAGTGTCCCGGAGCGCTGGGACATTCCAGAACACAGGGAAGTGTGTGGATGTGTGCAGCCACAGGCCGGGTCGGGCAGCCTTGCTGGGGCTTCGTACACACTTGGGAGGGCCCTGCGGGAGGTTTTGGGCTGCGGGTCCCGGCCCAGGCGGCTCGCCGTCCCCCTGCCTCTATGGCCTGCCCTGAGTGTGTGCGTGGGGCCACCGTGGGCGCTGAGCCACGTGGCCGTTCCCGCGGTGGTGTGGGGGCGGCTGCCAGCGCAGACACTGTTCCCTTTGAGGGGGGACCAGGGGCCGCCTTTGCCAAGTACTCTGGCTCTGTTTCTGTTTTTTTTAATATTTCATTTTTTGAGAGGTAGAGTTACAGTGAGAGAGAGAAAGGCAGAGAGAGAGAGAGAGGTCTTCCATCCGCTGGTTCACTCCCCAGATGGCCACAATGGCCGGAGCTGGGCCGATCTGAAGCCAGGAGCCGGGGGCTCCATCCGGGTCTCCCACGCAGGGGCAGGGGCTGTAGCACTTGGGCCAACACCCGCTCTTAGCCGGGGGCTGGGTCAGAAGCCGAGCAGCGGTGTCGCGGGCGGGCGGCGGCTTCACCCGCTGCGTCACCCCCTGCCAGCTGTCCCCGCCCTTCTCCCGCGCCGCCCTCTCCTGAGATGGGCCCGTGGGCGGCCCTGTCCCCCCGGAGCGCAGGCCCCGGGTGACGCCGTGTGTTCTCCGTCCGCCCCAGGGAACGGGCTGCTGAGGAAGAAGACCCTGGTCCCCGGGCCGCCCGGCTCGAGCCGGCCCTCCAAGGGCCAGGTGGTCACGGTGCAGCTGCAGACGTCGCTGGAGAACGGCACGCGCGTGCAGGAGGAGCCCGAGCTGGTGTTCACCCTGGGCGACTGCGACGTGATCCAGGTGGGCGGGGCAGGCGGAGGGCCGGGTGGGGTGAAGGGCGGAGCTGGGGCAGGGGAGGTGGGCGGTGCTGGGGGCAGAGGGCATGGCATGGCGGAGCTGGGGCAGCGGGCTGGGGGGGTGGAGGGTAGGGCGGGGGTATGGGCGGGGCGGAGGGTGGGGCTGGGTGCAGGCGGAGGAGCTCAGGGCAGAGGGTGTGGGCGGGGCAGATGGCCTGGTGGGGGTGGAGGGCAGGGTATGGGCAGAGCTGGGGCAGAGGGCGTGGTGTGGGTGGGTGGAGGGTGGGGCGTGGGCGGGGCAGAGGACGGTACAGAGGGCCAGGTAGGGCAGAGGGTGTGGCATGGCGGAGCTGGGAGGCTGAGGGCTGGGGGGGTGGAGGGTAGGGCGGGGTATGGGAGGAGCTGGGGCACAGGGCGTGTCGTGGGCGGGGCGGAGGGTGGGGCTGGGTGCAGGTGGAGCTCAGGGCAGAGGGCGTGGTGTGGGCGGGGCAGATGGCCAGGTGGGGTGGAGGGCAGGGCATGGGCGGAGCTCGGGGCAGAGGTGTGGGGCGTGGTGTGGGTGGAGCTCAGGGCAGAGGGCGTGGTGTGGGCGGGGCAGGTGGCCTGGTGGGGTGGAGGGCAGGGCATGGGCGGAGCTCGGGGCAGAGGGCGTGGTGTAGGCGAGTGGAGTGGGGGAGACATGGAGTGGAGCTCGGGACAGAGGGCGCAGTGTGGGCAGAGCTTGGGGCAGGGGGTGTGGGCAGATTTTGGGCGTGGGTGGATGGAGGGTGGGGCGGGGCATTGGCAGAGCTCTGGGGCAGAGGGCGTGGTGTGGGTGGAGCTCGGGTCAGAGGGCGTGGTGTGGGCGGGCAGAGGGTGGTGCAGAGGGGGCCAGGTGGGTGTGGGCGGAGCTTAGGACAGAGGGCATGGCATGGGTCGGTGGAGGGGGGCCTGGGGCCGCCTGACTCTCACTGGCTCCCCCCACCAGGCCCTGGACCTCAGCGTCCCGCTCATGGACGTGGGTGAGACGGCCATGGTCACTGCTGACTCCAAGTACTGCTACGGCCCGCAGGGCAGGTGAGCGCCCAGGGGACCCGGGCGGAGGGGAGGGAGGCTGGCGCCCGCTGCTTGCCATATTTACTTTTCTTTTAAGATTGATTTATTTATTTGCAAAGCTGAGTGACAGAGAGTAGGAGAGACAGAGAGATTTAGCTGCTGGTTCATTCCCCTAAGTGGTCCCAGTAGCCTCAAAGCCAGGAGCCAGGGGCTCCATCCAGGTCTCCCATGTGGGTGGTGGGGACCCAGGTAGCTGGGCCATCACCTGTTGCCTCCCAGGGTGCACATGCACAGGGAGCTGGCGCCAGGACTCGAACACAGGCTCTCTGATAGGAGACACAGGCGTGGCAGCCAGCAGCCTGTCTGCCCATTTTACGGAAGAGCAAGCTGAGGTCCAGAGAGGGCACTCACTGCACAAGTTACGCAGCAGGGGCCGGCAGGTGGGACTTCCGGGCTGTTTCCGAGGACGGGGCGGATGAAGACCCCACCCTGGTCCAGGCTGGGGCTCCCCGGGTCTGAGTGCCACCCCCGCCTGATCTGGGCTAGGGCTCCCCGGGTCTGAGAGCCACCCTGCCTGGTCCAGGCCAGGGCTCCCCGGGTCTGAGAGCCACCCTGCCTGGTCCAGGCCAGGGCTCCCCGGGTCTGAGAGCCACCCCTGCCTGGTCCGGCCGGGGCTGGGGCTCCCGGGTCTGAGTGCCACCCCTGCCTGGTCCAGCTGGGGCTGGGGCTCCCCGGGTCTGAGCCACCCCTGCCTCGTCCAGCCGGGGCTGGGGCTCCCCAGGTCTGAGAGCCACCCCTGCCTGGTCTGGCCGGGGCTGGGGCTCCCCGGGTCTGAGTGCCACCCCCGCCCGTCCCTACTTCCCCAGCAGGAGCCCCTACATCCCCCCGCACGCGGCCCTGTGCCTGGAGGTGACGCTGAAGACGGCGGTGGACGGGCCGGACCTGGAGATGCTCACGGGGCAGGAGCGCGTGGCCCTGGCCAACCGGAAGCGGGAGTGTGGCAACGCCCACTACCAGCGGGCGGACTTCGTGCTGGCCGCCAACTCGTACGACTTGGCCATCAAGGCCATCACCTCCAGCGCCAAAGGTGACCGCGGGCCAGATCCCGCCAGCCCCCCCCAACCCTGGGGCCAGGGCCAGACCAAATGAGTCCCCGGGGCCCCTCACGTTGGCCCACCCGTGTTAGAATATTCTGGAGTGTGGCCAGACCACAGCTGTGTCACTGACTCGAGGCTGGGAGCCGTGCTGTGGGGCCACGGGGTGGGCTGGGCAGTCCAGGGCCTAGGCTGTGGGGTGGGCTGGGGGGCCAGGGCCATGGGGTGTGCTGGGCGGTCCTCTGGGCTGGGGGCGCGGCCGCGGGGTGTGCTGGGTGGTCCGGGGCCAGGTGGTCTGGGGCTGGGGTGGGGGGGAGGGTGGGGGAGGGCTGGGCCATCCTGGGCTGGGGCGGGGCACGGGGTGGGCCAGGAGGTCCAGGGCTGGGGTGGGCCAGGTGGTCCAGGGCTGGGGCTGGGGGCAGGGCGCGGGGTGGGCCAGGGCGCATGGTGGGCCAGGAGGTGCAGGGCTGGGGTGGGCCAGGAGGTCTGGGTCCGAGGGCACGTGGTGGGCTGGGAGGTCCGGGGCTGGGGGCGGGGGGTGGGCCAGGGGCGTGGTGAGCTAGGAGGTGCAGGGCTGGGGTGGGCCAGGTGGTCCAGGTCCGGGGCTAGGGGCGGGGTGCGGGGTGGGCCAGGAGGTGCAGGGCTGGGGTGGGCCAGGAGGTCCGGGTCTGGGGATGCATGGTGAGCTGGGAGGTCTGGGGCTGGGGGCGGGGCGCAGGGTGGGCGGGGGCGGGGCCGGGCTCGGCCTGGCCGCCTCGCTGAGCGCCGCCGCCCACAGTGGACATGACCTTCGAGGAGGAGGAGCAGCTGCTGCAGCTGAAAGTCAAGTGTCTGAACAACCTGGCGGCCTCGCAGCTGAAGCTGGACCACTACCGCGCGGCGCTGCGCTCCTGCAGCCTGGTGCTGGAGCACCAGCCCGACAACATCAAGGCGCTCTTCCGCAAGGGCAAGGTGGGCGGGGCCGGGAAAGGGCGGGGCCTGGTGTGATGTGGGTGGGCCCCCTGGTGGGGGCTAGGTGGGTGGGATCCAGGTGGAAGTGGGTGGGGCCCAGGGAGAGGTGGGTGGGGCCCAGGGAGAGGTGAGCGGGGCATCAGGGCAAAGTGGGCGGGGCCGCTCATCCAGGCTCCCTCCTGCCCTGTGCCCGGCCTGAGATGTCAGTACCCAGGGACCCTCGTGGGCCTCGTTAAGCTCCGCGCTCTGCTATGGCCTCCTGGAGCGGCCCTCCCTGCCACCCAGCCCCGGCCCCGTGTTCCTAGTGTCCCCACTTGCCAGGCAGCGCCCGGAGGTGACCCGCTGTTGTCTCTCTGCCCTGCGGAGGGCCGGGGCTGCAGCCTATCCCGCCCCTTGCTTCAGTCTCCAACCTTGCACCCAGGCCGGGCGTGCAGTAGCGCTCTGTAGGGGTGCGTCAGGCCTGCACGCCCGTGTCTTTATCTGAAGGGGCAAACAGCAGGCACCCATCTGCTGGTTCACTCCCCGGATGCCAGTCGGGGCCGGGCCAGCAGGTCCCCTCCCGCCGGGTGGCAGGGGCCCATGTACTCGGGCCATCGAGGCTGCCACCAGGTTCATCGCCGAGGAGCCAGGCCTGCCTCTCGGGCCCCTGATCTCAGACGTGGGTGTCCCTGGCGGCCTCACCCACCGCCCCACAGACTGGATTTTCTCCTGCACTTGGTGGGAGCTGCGGGGGGAGGGGCCGCTCCGGGCGAGGCTGCGTGTTCCCCTGCCTGCCGGGGTCTCGGGCGTGGGGCACGGGGCCCCCGGGCAGCGTCTGCTCCGCCACGCTGGACGTGGTTTGCTTTGGTCCTTGCCTCTGTCGGTCTGGCGCTGGGACTCTGGGGAGAGGGTGGGGTTTTTGGCACCTCTCAGAGTGGTAAATCGGGGAGACTGAGGCAGAGACGCCCCCGCTGGCATTGGTCAGAGGCAGGCCATGTGCAGGCTGCAGAGACATGGGGCAGCGAGTCCATGGTCTCCGTTTTGTTCTGGTTTTAGAGATTTATTTATTTATTTGAAAGTCAGAATTACAGGGGGAGAGAGAGAGAGGTCCTCCATCCCGCCGGTTCACTCCCCAGATGGCCGGAGCTGGGCCGAGCGAAGCCGGGAGCTCCCTCCGGGTCTCCCCTGTGGGAGCAGGCGCCCGGGGCCTTGAGCGGTCACTGCTTGCGTCCGTGGGTCCAGCGCTGTCCCCCCCTCCCCCCCGCAGGTCCTGGCTCAGCAAGGGGAGTACAGTGAGGCCATCCCCATCCTGCGGGCGGCCTTGAAGCTGGAGCCGTCCAACAAGGTAAGCGCAGGGGGCCCTGTGTGCTCTGCCTGGGGGCCCCTGCCCAGGCCGTGGGGGCGGGGCAGAACAGAGGGCACCGCCCCCTATCCATACCCCCATCCGCAGCCTCTAGTGGGGGCGGGGCAG